CAAGGGCAGACTCACCCCCGACGGCCAGAGGACTGGTAGGAGGAGCAGCCACAAGACTGGTGGCGTAGTCAAGGCGGCGAGTAGAGGCAAACTCAGTGACTGCGGCAGTAAGAGCGGAGACAGAGGACAGAGAGGCACGAGGGTCGGTAACAAGAGAGGCGAGAACACGAGAGAGAACAGGACGGTACGTGCGGTAGTAGTCAGTGACAGGAGTAGGGAGTGAAGCAGTGAGGGCCGACTCAGGAGGAGAAGGAAGTAGGGACAGGGACGAACGAGGCGGACTAGAACGAAACAGGGCGGTACGAATGTCAATAACGAGAACAGGAGACGAGGGACGAGCACGAGGAGAGCGACGAGAGGCCCAAGTCTGAGAAGGAGGAGAGGACAAGGGAGGCTGAGAACGAGGGAAAATAGCTGGGGAAGAGTCAGGCGGAGGAAACGTGGGACCGTAGACAGGAGGAGAGGGGGAGGAGGAAGGAGAGCGAGAGGGGAGACCGAGGGTCCGAAGACCAGAGACAGGAGGAGAAGGCGACGACTGCAGCTTGTTCTGCTGCGGCCGCGACCGCTGCTCCTGCTGTTGCCGCTCCTCCAGCTGCGGCTGCTGCTGCTGCTCCTGCTGCTGCGGCTGCTGCTGCTGCTCCTGCTGCTGCTGCTCCTGCTGCTGCTGCAGCTGCTGCAACTCTCTCTCCTCTCTCTCCAACTCCAGCTGCTCCTCACGGGCACGGCGAACACGGTGGGGAGGAGGAGTAGTGTCCGGGGCAGCGGTAGCTCCTGGACCGCTCTCCAAAGCACCAGACACGTCACCCCCAGAGCCAGTACCACCAGCAACAACACGGCCAGACTCACCAGGGCCCGCAGAGGGCGCACCCGCACCCCCACTCGTAGTACCCTCAGGGTCAGCTCGACCAACATCAGCTCCCGGAAGACTAGAGTCTCCTGCAGCGACGGACTCAGCTCCAACTCCAACACCCCCAGAACTAGGAACCGGCACAGGGACGCTCCCAACTGCAGCCCCAACACCGCGAGAGCCGGCACCTCCAGCGGACTCGCCACAAACACCGTCCCCCGCAGGGTCTGCTGCAGGTTGTGGGGAGGATTGCGGGGAAGGAGACAGCACCTGAGGGGCCACCGAGGGGGGAGGGGTAGCGTGGGACACACCTGACGGGGCTGGACCAGGGGGGGGAGGCTGTACCGGGGGAGCAGGAGTGGAAGCGGAAGTGAGGAAGAGAGGGGGAGGAGGAACCGGGAGACCTCGACAGGGGTACCTGACGTAGTAGGGGGTGGACTCCTCGAAACGGACTTCATGGGAGTCAAAGAACCGGTTAGAGGGAGGGTGGTAAAAGGTGAAGTCAGAGGAGTCCTCTGGGAAACCAAGGAAGACACAGGGAACGGCGCGAGGCGAGAGCTTGTCCGCGGAGGTGTCGCGGACAAGAGCCAAGCAACCCCAGACACGAAACCGCGACGCAACACCAGGGGACCCAGTCCAAAGACTGGTCGGTGAAGCCTCTGGCCGAGAGACACGTGGCCAGAGGTTCAGCTGGTGAGCGGCGTACCTAACCGCGTAGGGCCACAGAAAATGGGGGGCACGGGCGTGAGTCAAGGAGGTGCGGGCGATCTCCATGACCAAGCCTATGCGGCGCTCAGCAACCCCATTCTGCTGTGGGGACTTTGGAAGCGTCCAGGACTGACGAATGCCCTGCTCGCGACAGAATCCAGCGAGAACGCTGAAGCGAAACTTACCCCCGCGATCGGAGTGAAGACAGCTGACACGACGACCACGAGTGTCTGCAGTGGTAAGCAACCACCTGATCAGCGTAGAAGTCACCTCAGACTTCTTCGCCAGGGGGAACACTGTGGTGTAGCGGGAGTAGTCGTCAACGGCCACCGGAAAGAAACGCTCACGCTTAGGGCCAAGGCAAGAGGCGGGGCCCCAGACGTCCAAGTGGAGAGTCTCAAAAGGCTCGGTGGCCGGACGGACGCAAGGAGGAGGAGTGAGGGGTGGCGCGGAGTCGACCATCGACGCAAGGACCGCACGGTGGTGCAAGCGAAGGCGGCAGCGATGGCAAGACACGCGGGAGGCCTAAGACAAGACGCTGACTAGACATAGCGCGCAGACGAGGAATGGACGGGTGCCCCATCCGGTGGTGCCACAAGCGACCGGCAGGAGCAAGACACCGCAACTAGACCGGACACGGGAACCTGACCAGACACAGCTACCTGGGGGGACGCGGCAACCTGGTGAGACACGGGGACCTGACGAGGGGCAGGGACAAGGGCCAGGGGCAAGAGCTGCTGCTGCTGCTGCTGCGGCTCCTGCTGCGGCTATTGCTGCTGCTGCTGCGGCTGCTGCTGCCCTCGAGGGCCAGTGTGAAGTGTGTAGAGACCCGACTCAGCAGTAAAGGTGGCAAGAGGCGCGTACGAGTCCCCGTCAACACAAACCACTCTCTCGCCAGAGGGCTCAATCGACGCACCCACGTGCGGACTCACAACAGGCCGCACGCCCACCAAGTTCCTCGAGAACGAGGCAACGTGGAAGCCGGTCAGCGACCCGGAGGGAACAGCTGGGCACGGAAGAGTAGTAGTGTAGCGAGCAGTGACTGGTCCCGAAGTGGGATCAGCCAGTGCTACAGAGACCGGCGCAGGAAGTGGCGTGAGCGGCGTGTGGTCGCGGAAGAAACAATGCGAAGCCCCAGAGTCCAGATTGAAAGAGAGCGGAGCGTCCTCCGAAGTAGCTCCTAGACTAGTGTCTACACAAGAACCTACACTAGCAACAGGCAACTCAGCAAGACTAGCACCTAAGCTAACAACACTCGAGTAAACAGAGTCAGAAGCACTAGAGTCAACAACAGCATACATAGCATGAGGAGTTCCTAACAGATTAATCAACTGAGAAAGAGACATGCCCCACAGAGCGAGGCCGTGCGACTGAGCAACAGGAAACCAGTCAGGGGCAGGGCCGTCAACGCCGTAGGCCAAGCGAACGGTGTCAGTAAGCTGAGCAAAGCACTGACCCGGTGGGTGGCTGCGGCCACAGGGCTGGCCCCGGCGGGCACCTGTAAGAACGTGATAGGTGCACGGAGGGTGAACGACACTACGTTGGAGCTGACGCTGTCCTGACCCCTGCCCCAAAACCTGCTGCTGCCGCTGCTGCTGCGGGGGCCTGCTGCGAAGGGAGGGGCTGCTGCTGCTGCTGACGTCGCTGCTCAACCCCCGGCAGCTGGCAGACGAAGCCGGGCGTCACCTCCACTAGCCGCAGCAGGGGTGTCACTGGACGCTCCTCCATCCGCTGCACTCCCGCTGTCGCCGGTCGCCACGCCACCCCCACCGCCTCCGCCGCCACCACCGCCTCTTCCAGCACCCATACCGCCTTTCTTGCAACCCCTACCCCGAGACCGCAAAAGAGTCGTAGCACCAGCTGCGGTCACATCAGTAGCAGCAGTGGCGAGGGAGGCAGTAAAGGTGGGCAGCTGAGGGACAGTGCACCCGTGAAACAGGGGAGGGGGCACAGCACCAGAGGCGGAGGCTACGGAGCGGAGGTTGCTCTCGACGTCCTTGAGAGCAGACTCAAGGACGCCGATAGTGAGCTCGCTAGGGTGCTTCAGAAGAAGCGCGTCACGAACCGATCAGGGAGGCTAGTGGCGATGAAATAGATAGTGATCGCCATAGTGGGAGGCAGCAGTGCAAGCTGGTCGTCAGTGCAAGCAGCGCGAAAGCTAGCGTCAAGTGACCGCAGGTGGGCAATAAGGTCAGCAGAGCGCTCAAACGAGGCGAGGTCAGGGAACAGGAAAGAGAGGAACAAGCGGCCAAGAGAGACAGTGGAAGGAGTTGCATAGCGGGCCTTAATCGCAGTCAGAAACTCGTGAGTCGTGCGAACCTGTGCGAAATGGGTCTCCTCAGACTCAGAGAGGAGGCTGCTGAGGGCGATGCAGGCCGCAGCGTCGCGCGACCGCCAGGCAGTCAGGTCAGCACGCTGACGCGCAACACGCTCTCCGTCCGCAGAGGTCGCGTCAGGTCCTAGGGTAGCAGGAGCGGGGGGCGCGGGGAGGTCACCGGATGCGTGCGCCCACAGGGACTCATCTGCCTGCACCTGACTCTCTAGGAGACGCTGCGCACGCTGGAGCCAGACAGATAACTCGAGGGGCCTACCCTCGGCGTCAAAGCGAAGGACTCTAGGAGTCGCCATAGTGAAAGTAGAGACAACAGGGCCGGCAAGGCGAGTTCTAAGGGCAGGCTCTGCGGGCAGCACAAGCAGACACGGCGGACGGGTAGGGCCGCGGCAGGCTCTAAGAGCAGGCGCGGCAGGTGGCACGGGCAGGGAGACGACGGGCAATGAGGGCAGGCCCGCGGTGGGCGAAAAAAACGCAAGCACAGCGGGCGCAAGGGGCGGGCCCGCGGCGGGCTTAGTGAACAGGCACGGCAGGGGCGAACGGGCGGGCCCGCGACGGGCGGAACGGACGGGTGCGGCGGCGCGAGGGCAGAGCCCGCGGCGGGCGTAACGGGCGGTCGCGGCGGCGCGACGGGAGGGTGTAACGGGCAGGCGCGGTGGCACGAAGGCAGTGTCAAACTATGCATATTGTGTTTGTGTAGGCTGCTAGTGGGGTAGCCCATATGGGGTACAACCCAATGTTAGGGTTAGCTTATGTACCCAACACTTCATCAATGCATTCATTCTTGTCTCTAGATTCTAACATGGTCAGGGCCACGAGCGGTACTTCCTGCTGGTCGTCGACGACTTCACGCGTTACACCACGGTCTTCCCCTTGCGCAGCAAGGGTCAGGTCCCTGATGTTTTGATCCCTTGGATCCGCGCTGTTCGTCTCCAGCTCCGCGAGCGGTTCGAGAGGGACTTTCCTGTCCTGCGTCTGCACTCTGACAGAGGTGGTGAGTTCACCTCCAACCTCTTGGCAGCCTACTGTGCGGAGCACGGCGTCCGCCAGACGTTCACGCTTCCGGCCTCTCCGCAGCAGAATGGGGTTGCTGAGCGCCGCATTGGCTTAGTCATGGAGGTCGCTCGTACCTCCATGATCCATGCGGCTGCCCCCCATTTTCTGTGGCCGTTTGCGGTCCGGTACGCCGCGCATCAGCTCAACCTCTGGCCCCGTGTCTCCTTGCCGGAGACCTCGCCCACACTGCTGTGGACGGGGAAGGTTGGCGATGCGTCACGTTTCCGGGTCTGGGGTGCTCGTGCCTTTGTCCGCGATACCACCGCGGACAAGCTCTCCGCCCGCGCTATTCCCTGTGTCTTCCTTGGCTTTGTCCCTGACGCGCCTGGTTGGCAGTTTTACCACCCCACCTCGCGTCGTGTCTTTGCGTCTCAGGACGTCACGTTCGACGAGTCGGTTCCCTTTTACCGTCTCTTCCCCTACCGCACTGCCCCTCTCCCTCCCCCGCCGCTCTTCCTCGCTCCAGGTGCTCCCCAGGTCGACCCTCTCCCCGCTCCAGGTCCTGCTCCCTCAGGTGTGTCTCAGGTAGACCCTCCTCCCTTCCCTGCGCCGGTTGAGGTCACTGGTGACTCAGGTCCTGCTGGGGGTGGTCCTGCTCGGGGTGCTACTTCTGGGGGTGCTGAGCCTGGGGGTGCGGAGCCTGGGGGTGCGGAGCTTGAGGGTGTAGAGCCTGGAGGTGCTGAGCCTGCGTGTGAGGGGTCTGGAGGTGCTGGAGCTGGTGGTTCTGGGGCTGCTGAGGGTGCGAGCGCTGGAGGTTCTGGAGCTGCTGGAGGTCCTGGTGCTGGTGGCGCTGGAGCTGCTGAGGGTGCTGGCGCTGAGGGTTCAGAGTCTGCTGTTGCGCGGTCTCCTTGGAGTAGCCGCCTTCGTCCACGTGTGCCTCTCACCTCGCAGCAGCTGCACGACTGGTACGGTCGCCGTCAGGGTCGCGCTGCTGGAGCCCGGGGCTCTACTGCTGGAGGTACTTCTGCTGCCGTCCCTGGAGCTAGGAGTGGTGCTGGTACTTTGTCTACTGGAGGTGCTGGAGTCGCTGGTCCCGGAGGTGCTCGTACTGGAGGTACTGGAGCTGCTGGGGCTGGGGGTGCTGCGTCTGGAGGTGCTGCTGCTGGAGACACCGAGGCTGGAGACCCTGGGACTAAAGGTGCTGGTTCTGGGGGTGCTGCTGCTGGAGACGTGGAGGCTGGAGACCCTGGGACTGGAGGTGCTGGTTCTGGGGGTGCTGCTGCTGGAGACGTGGAGGCTGGAGACCCTGGGACTGGAGGTACTGGTTCTGGGGGTGCTGCTGCTGGAGGCACTGGGGTTGGAGACCCTGGGCCTGGAGGTGTCGGTTCTGCTGCTGGAGCTTCTGGAGCTGCTGGAGGTGCTGGAGCTGCTGGGGGTACTGGAGCTGCTGGAGCTGCTGGAGCTGCCGGTACTGGTGCAGCTGCGCCGCCACGACTGTTCTTCGCTCCGCCGTCTCCGTCGTCTCTGCCGCCGCCTGACTCTGTTCTTCGTCAGGTTCTTACTCTCCCGTCGTCTACTGGTCTTCCGTTACAGCCTGGCTCACCAATTCCTGCTCCTTCTCCTTACACTTAGCAGACAGGTAGTCTTGCTGAGCGTCGTGAGCCTGCGTCGCGTCCTGTCTCGCCTGTTCGTCCTAGTCGTACCGGTCGTCGTGTTCCGCGTCCGCGTTCGCCGCCTGTCCCCACCGCACACCTTGTCGTCCGTCGTCCTTCCTCTGTTCCACAGTCTGTTTCTCTGCCGTCTCCTCCTGCGTCTTCCTTGCCTCACGTTCCGGACCCTGAGTCTGACCGGTTTCGTGCTGAGCACCCTACTGTCACGCGTCTGCTTGCCACTGTTGTCACTGACCCCTCGTTTGAGTCTGCTGCTGCGACTGCTTTGGTTGCTGAGCTTGTTGACTTTGCGGCTGCCTGTCGTCTAGACTACGCTGCTAGTCTTGTCGCTGAGTCTGAGTCTGTCTGTCCTCCATCCGTCGGGGGTGAGTGTGCTCTTAGCACGGACGTCCTTGAGGACAGGCACGAGGACCTTGAGTGTCTTGCAGCCGCTGCGCCTCATCTCGTGACCATGCTGCTTGCCCCTGAGGGAGACCCGGATGCACTAGACATCCCCACCCCGCGCTCGTACGCTGAGGCGGTCGCGGGTCCCTACTCCTTTTAGTGGTAGGTAGCCATGGACGCAGAGATGGCATCCTGGAAGTCCACAAGCACCTACGTCGACGACGTTCCCCCTCCTGGGGCGAACATCGTCAGTGGCATGTGGATTTTCAGGGTGAAGCGGCCGCCTGGTTCTCCGCCTGTCTTCAAGGCACGTTACGTTGCTCGAGGCTTCAGTCAGCGAGAGGGGGTTGACTTCTTCCAGACCTTCTCCCCCACCCTGAAGATGACCACTCTTCGGGTACTGCTGCACGTTGCCGCTCAGCGTGACTACGAGCTTCACTCGCTTGACTTCAGCACAGCTTTCTTGCAGGGCAACCTGCACGAGGAGATCTGGCTGCGCCGCCCACCTGGCTTCACTGGGTCGTTCCCTCCTGGTACCCAGTGGAGCCTCCGCCGGCCAGTCTACGGTCTCCGTCAGGCACCTCGTGAGTGGCACGACACACTGAGGACTACGCTTGCGGCTCTCGGGTTTGCGCCCTCCACAGCTGACCCGTCACTGTTTCTGCGCACCGACACTTCGCTGCCGCCGTTCTACATCCTCGTGTACGTCAACGACTTGGTCTTTGCCACTGCTGACACTGAGGCTCTCGCCCTGGTGAAGTCGGAGCTACAGAAGAGACACACGTGCACAGACCTGGGTGAGCTGCGCAGCTACCTTGGCTTGCAGATCACCCGGGACAGAGCACGTCGCACCATCACTCTGACTCAGTCACACATGGTGCAGCAGGTCCTTCAGCGCTTCGGCTTCACCTGGTCCTCGGCACAGTCCACTCCTCTGGCTACAGGTCACTCGCTCTCAGCTCCACCTTCGGACGAGTCCGTAGAGCCGAGTGGTCCTTACCCAGAGCTAGTAGGCTGCCTCATGTACCTGATGACTTGCACTCGTCCTGACCTTGCGTACCCTCTTGGCCTTTTGGCCCGCTACGTGGCTCCTGGTCGGCACCGAAAGGTGCACTGGGATGCTGCGAAGAGGGTACTGCGCTACTTGTGCAGTACATCGGGCATGGGGCTCGTGCTTGGAGGACGGCGAGAGGTGGTCCTCACTGGGCACTCAGACGCGTCTTGGGTTGACGACCAGGCTACACAGCGGTCGTCACAGGGTTACACTTTCAGCCTCGGCTCTGGTTCTGTTTCGTGGCGTTCTACTCGCTCGTCTTCTGTTCTCAGCTCCAGTTGTGAGGCTGAGATCTACGCCACCGCCATGGCTGCTCAGGAGCTGCGCTGGCTCACGTACCTGCTGACCGACCTGGGAGAGCGGCCTCGTTCTCCTCCAGTTCTGTACGTTGACAACAAGGCAGCCATTGCCTTGTGTGAGGAGCACAGACTGGAGCACAGAACGAAGCACATCGCTCTGCGTTACTTCCTGGCTCGAGAGTTGCAGCAGCGTGGTCAGCTTCGTCTTGCACACGTGGCCACTCGGGCCAACACTGCTGATATATTCACCAAGGCACTTCCTTCTGGTGATCATCAGCGCTTTTGTACCTTGTTGGGCCTTGTGCCTACGTTTCCACACTTGCTGTAGACTCTGCCTGTACTGTGATCTTTATATATATATACCTGCATGCTTGCTCTTGCTAGGTAGTGATCACTGTACTTTGTTTGTTGCATATATACCTCTGCATGTGGACTGGCCTTGTGGCCCTTTGCTTGTGCTTACCCTCTTCACCTTTCCCTTACCCTCTTCACCTTTCCCTTACCCTCTTCACCTTTCCCTTACCCTCTTCACCTTTCCCTTACCCTCTTCACCTTTCCCTTACCCTCTTCACCTTTCCCTTACCCTCTTCACCTTTCCCTTACCCTCTTCACCTTTCCCTTACCCTCTTCACCTTTCCCTTACCCTCTTCACCTTTCCCTTACCCTCTTCACCTTTCCCTTACCCTCTTCACCTTTCCCTTACCCTCTTCACCTTTCCCTTACCCTCTTCACCTTTCCCTTACCCTCTTCACCTTTCCCTTACCCTCTTCACCTTTCCCTTACCCTCTTCACCTTTCCCTTACCCTCTTCACCTTTCCCTTACCCTCTTCACCTTTCCCTTACCCTCTTCACCTTTCCCTTACCCTCTTCACCTTTCCCTTACCCTCTTCACCTTTCCCTTACCCTCTTCACCTTTCCCTTACCCTCTTCACCTTTCCCTTACCCTCTTCACCTTTCCCTTACCCTCTTCACCTTTCCCTTACCCTCTTCACCTTTCCCTTACCCTCTTCACCTTTCCCTTACCCTCTTCACCTTTCCCTTACCCTCTTCACCTTTCTCTTACCCTCTTCACCTTTCCCTTACCCTCTTCACCTTTCCCTTACCCTCTTCACCTTTCCCTTACCCTCTTCACCCCTTTCCCTTTACCCTCTTCACCTTTCCCTTACCCTCTTCACCTTTCCCTTACCCTCTTCACCTTTCCCTTACCCTCTTCACCTTTCCCTTACCCTCTTCACCTTTCCCTTACCCTCTTCACCTTTCCCTTACCCTCTTCACCTTTCTCTTACCCTCTTCACCTTTCCCTTACCCTCTTCACCTTTCCCTTACCCTCTTCACCTTTCCCTTACCCCCTTCACCTTTCCCTTACCCTCTTCACCTTTCCCTTACCCTCTTCACCTTTCCCTTACCCTCTTCACCTTTCCCTTACCCTCTTCATCTTTCCCTTACCCTCTTCACCTTTCCCTTACCCTCTTCACCTTTCCATTACCCTCTTCACCTTTCCCTTACCCTCTTCACCTTTCCCTTACCCTCTTCACCTTTCCCTTACCCTCTTCACCTTTCCCTTACCCTCTTCACCTTTCCCTTACCCTCTTCACCTTTCCCTTACCCTCTTCACCTTTCCCTTACCCTCTTCACCTTTCCCTTACCCTCTTCACCTTTCCCTTACCCACTTCACCTTTCCCTTACCCTCTTCACCTTTCCCTTACCCTCTTCACCTTTCCCTTACCCTCTTCAACATACACACATACACACATGCACACACGCATGCACACGCGCGCACACACACACACACACACACACATTTGCGCACAAACACACACGCACACATACACTCGCACACGCGCATGCGCACACACAAACACACAAAAACATACACTCTCACACACACATGCGCTCGCACACACACACACACACGCTCGCACACACACACGCTCGCACACACACACGCACGCACGCGCACACGCACGCACGCACAAGCGCGCATACACACGCGCACGCGCGCGCACTCACATACACACACACAATCGCACGTGCTGCAGCAGTTTCAGGAGCGGCAGGGGTAGGTGAGGAGGGGCCAAGCTTATTTGAATGAGGAGAGTAAGTGTGAGGAGAAAGCGGGTGATAGGAGAAGTTATGGTCCCCAAAAACAGTTAACAGCAGGCAAAGGGAGGAGGTGTGGGAGGAGGTGAGTCCTCTATGTGCCTGCACAGCCTATTACCCCCATTTCCCTTGTCCATTTACCCTATACCCCCCCTCCCCACCCCACCCAATCCACCCGCCCCCCTGTGCGCCCCTTCACCCATGTGTGTGTGTGCGCACACATCAGATCCGCAGCATGCAGGGCAAGGTGGAGAGTGAAAGGCCTCGTTAATGCGAACGATCAGCGAGAAGGCATTAACGAGGCCTTCTCCTGAAACTTCCTGGAAATGGCCGTTGCCGGGGAGGTGGCTCTAGGTGAGCAAGAGAAGAGTGGAGGGGAAAGGGTGGGAGGGAGGAAACGTGAGAATGTGTGAGTGTGGAGGGAAGGCAAGTGAAGGGAGGTTGGCGAGGAGAGAAGGGGTGAAGTGCGAGAAGGCGTGGGAGGGGAGAGAGTGATGTCGACCCCATGATATGAGGGGAGAGGAAGGTAGGGAGGAAGGGAAGGATGAGCGTGAAGGGGGAGCAAGGGAAATGGCAGCTCTTCCATTCGCAACCACCATACCATATTATGATAACGAATCACTAGACCTCAGAAGTCCCAAACATGGGTGTGAACAGAAAAATGAGCAGCATCGATTACTGATGAAACGTTGGTTGGTTTTCTCATTTGAGGAATGTTCTTCAGCCAACGCTACCGTTTTGGATAGTATTTCCGTGGAAGTGAGAAAGGACTTTTTGGAGGACAAGTATGTTTTGTATCTGGTCGACGTGTTTGCTTTGGCTGCCATTCAACTCCGCATTGACTTCGATGACCTGTCAGTAGCTCAAATGTAAGTGTTGGTTGCAGTGGCCTCTCCTTAATAACTCGCCACTACAACCAACACATACATTTGAGCCACTGGTAGGTCATCAAAGTCGATGCGAAGTTGAAGGGCAGCCAAAGCGAACATGTCGACCAGATTGAAGACGTACTTGCCCTTCAAATAGTCTTCTCTCGCTTCCACGAAAATATCATCCAAAACAGTAGCTTCGGCTGAAGAGTCTTCCTCAAATGGGAAGACCAGCCACCGTTTCATAATTTAACCTTACAAGGCCTC